CCCCCCCCCCCCCCCCGGGGGAGGGGGGTTTGTCTGCACCGCAGGGTTTTTGGAGAAGACGCCGTTTGCGCCAGAGATTTTGCACAAAAACGTCTGGCACAAAAGCGCATCCAGACCTCAAAGCGCGTCCCCAAAGCCACGTGCCTGCGCACACGCGAGCGGCCACGCCGCATGGACACTCTTGTGCAAGGAAGGTCTTGCAGGGGGAGGGGGGTTTGTCTGCACCGCAGGGTTTTTGGAGAAGACGCCGTTTGCGCCAGAGATTTTGCACAAAAACGTCTGGCACAAAAGCGCGTCCAGACCTCAAAGCGCATCCCCAAAGCCACGTGCCTGCGCACACGCGAGCGGCCACGCCGCATGGACACTCTTGTGCAAGGAAGGTCTTGCACCTGTGCTTTTTCCCGGAGGGGTTTCTTCTTCCTGCGGAGAGTCCACACCTGCCTTTTTGCACAAGAGCTGTGGCACACAAAGGAGTTATTCCTCGTGGGGAGAGGAATAACTGCACTGGAAAAAGCCCTCTGTTCTGTCGATTTTCTTGCGCAAAAGTGCGCTTGAGGTGTGGACACTCCACAGGGGTGTCCACCTTGGAGTGTAGACATAGCCAGGAGGTGCTTGCAGGCACAAAGTTAAGCTCTGTGTGGTAGACCCCAGTCCTGAAAAGGTTTACACAAGTCACCTAACAAGAGGAGGAAAACTCTGCAAAGAGCCCTTCTCAGGGCTCATCCTTCCCTACTTCCTAGAGAAGTCCGGCTCCTATCTCCCCTCTGTGATAGAGATAAGTAACCTGGACCAGCTTTACTGAACTGAAGTGTAGCTCTTTGGGGTCCATGGTGTTAAAATGCAATTGTGTACATGTTATTGTGAGATTGTGCATCGCTTCTCTAAGAGGAGGGGATATGTGGATGTTGTAACTCCCGTGGTTATCAGTTTTTGGAACCCACCCCCCACAGAAGTTTGCAAATACTAGTTCAGACGGGATTCGCATGGGACCAGACCCAGACGGCATTATTAGAGAAACAGCCTGCTTTTAATCCGGGTCTGGGTTTTTTCTTTTGATCCAGCAAACTGAGGGGAGCTCTGCTCAACAGAGGGTCCTGCTCCCTAGGGAAGGGTCGGAAGGACTAACACAGACCAAGAGGAGGAGATTTCTCCTTAGATTGTATGTAGCTTCTTGTATATTTTTAATATGTTTTCTCTGCAGTGCTTTTACTTTAAGACTAAAATAGGCTTGCTTAGGTAGCCCAGGGTTATATACTTCAGAAGTACTGGGAACTACAAATGCGGTGGTTCCTGCCAAGATGCACCTGACCTTTGCCTTCCTAGCAGGAAGTGTCAGCACTGACTGAAGCTGGGAGTGCCAGGCAAACAAGGAGACAGGAGGCTCCGGATTGTCATTCTTCCTGTTCATCGTTTCTTTACAGGCTAAAACCTCCTTCGTGACAGTTTGTTTGAGTGGGTGTGGTCTGAGCTGAACATCCTCTGACATACAACACAGATGCAACCCTTCTGCCACGTGGAGCCAGCTGCAGCCAGGGCCAGGTTCAATAGCTAGGGGTTCTTCTCCATCCATTCAACACTGACCTGGCTCAAGCCCCAGCCCAGTAACCTGGGAAATTCACACAACACTTCTGGGTGTCTCTGAGAGGCAATGCTCCCCCATTCACAAGCACAGCGTCTGAGTGAGCGTAGAAAAGAGACTTTTAATAAGAGAGAGGGAAGTAACTTGGGAACACACCACAAACAGGGCTCATAAACAACAAACACGAGTAACAGTCCCACCCCAAGCAGGTTGGACAGTGTCCTTTTCCTCTCAGGTTCTTAAGTCCAGCAACCTCAATGTCCCCGTCACATGCCCAACCCTTCTCTGCACCCCACTCCCAGTTGCTGCCCTTGGCCAAGCCAGGGCAGACTAGAGTTCAAAGGTGCATCCACAGAGTTTATCTCTCATCCTGAATGGGGGCAGGGGGACAAAGAGGCATCTTACTCTGCTGGCCCATTTGCCATCCAGCTGCTTGCCGCACCTCACTGTCACCGCCCTGCTGGCTGCTTGCCGCACCCCTCTATCGCCGCCCTGCTGGCTGCCTGCTACACCTCTCTGTCGCCGCCCTGCTGGCTGCTCGTTATATCTCTCCACCTCTGTCCTGCTGGTCTCTCATTGCATCTCTCCACCACTGTCCTGATGGCTGTCAGTCACCACAGGTTGCCATCCACTTTTTGGCTGTGATCTCTGCCCATCAGTCTCAAGTGATTTCAGCTCCCCGTGAATTCACTCTTAGCAAGCAGGGTAGAAGAAACACGACTCCACCACCATTAACATCAGAAAGGGATCTCAGAGGGGTAGCCGTGTTAGTCTGTAACTATTATTTATTTATTTAAAATATTTTTACCTCACCTCTCTGTTTGAAATGTTTGAGGTGGCTTACAAACATAAGAACATAAGAACGGCCGTACTGGGTCAGACCAAAGGTCCATCTAGCCCAGTATCCTGTCTACAGACAGTGGCCAGCACCAGGTGCCCCAGAGAGGGTGGACCGAAGACAATGATCAAGCGATTTGTCTCCTGCCATCCCTCTCCAGCCTCTGACAAACAGAGGCCAAGGACACCATTTTATCCCCTGGCTAATAGCCTTTTATGGACCTAACCTCCATGAAATTATCTAGCTTCTCTTTAAACTCTATTATAGTCCTAGCCTTCACCGCCTCCTCTGGCAAGGAGTTCCACAGGTTGACTACA